AGATAGATAGATGTAGACAAAGTGACAGACTCACTGTTTTGGCAGGTGGTTTTTCTGGTTCAGGAGCTGGTTTGGGTTCAGCAGGCTTGGGCTCTGGAGTCTTGGCTTTCCAGCTGTTAATGCGACCAGCCACACCGATGTTCAGGCCAGCTGTTTCCTGAGAGGACAGTTAGTGAAGAATTCATACTTTTGTTTGTCAGATTAATACTGCTTCATCTGCTTATTTCAGTGATCATGTACTAAAACTCTCTTCTCTCGTCTCTTCTCTTGTACCTTGGTGACCGGTGGGGGGCTTGCTGGACTCGGGGTGGGATTGACCACATTCCCCTTCTCCCACATACTCTTGATGCTCCGCAGGCCTTCAGCCACAGGTACATCCACAGGAGATTTGGGTGATTTGGTCACTTCTTTGGTCTGCTGAACAACAGATAAGAGTCTCAAACTGAGTTATAAATGACAGGTGGCTGCTCTAGTGTTTACAATTCCTCACCTGAACAGCAGAAGTGTATTGCTCTAGTCTGTTTCCAATCTTGCAAACTAATGGAGTGTGTGACGTCTTAACGGGACTGGTGTAAATAAACAACAGTATGAACTCGGTATATGCCAGACCCCAGTACTTGTTGGACTGTTGAGTAAACACACTTCTTACCTTTTTAGAGCAGATTTGTTCAGAAATTCGGCTTTCTCTCCAATCTGTCACAGAATAGTATCATATAAAACACATTATTATAGTACTATGTTAAAAAAAAAAGGTAATACTACAGTGCTTTTTTGTAAAAGTCAGAATAGATCATAGAGCCATTAACCTTTGCGGAGGCACCCTTCGGAGCGATGAATGGTGCTTTGCTCCCTTCTTTCGATGACTCCGTTTGTTTTTTTTTCTCGGCTGCCTCTGCTCTCCTTCGCTCAATCTCTCCCTTCATCTTCCTCCTCTCTTCCTGTTAATTTTAGTGATGAGAAGAAGACAAAGACAGCATACGTCTTACAAATAAAGTGTATGAGGGGCCGTTCACGCAAAGTACGTTTGGTTTTCCACTGCACTACTTTTTCATTGTTTTTTTTTCATTAGACGGATGTCTTCGACCTTTGTACGTGCAATGCTCTCACTTTGCGCACAGCATGGTACTCCAAAAATGCATTTTTTTTTGTATTCCACTGCACTAGTTTAGTAATGTTTTTCAGCATAAATTTGAGTTTAGATGCGTTTTTACATTCCACTACTTTTCAATTGCTTTTCATACATAAACTTACGTTAGACGGACACCTTTGACCATTGCTTGCATTGCACTCGTTTTGCACACAACTAAAAATATGGCCCTTAAATTAAGTTTTAGAAAACTTTTAGACTGCACTACTTTTATATTGTTTTTCAACGTAAATTTGAGTTAGATACGTTTTACGTTCCACTGCGTTACTTTTCAATTGCTTTTCTGCATAAACTTGCGTTAGACGGACACCTTTGTCCATTGCGCTTGCGTTCATCTTGTTTTGCACATAACTAAAAATATAGCCCTCAAATTAAAAGAAGTTTTAGAAAACATTTAGAAAATACATTTCAAGACATTGCGTTTTTTTCCAACTCCATTGCCCGCATCTCACGTTTTGTTTTGTTTTTTTACATTAAAACATGTTGCGTGAACATCCCCTTAGTCTGCATCGATTTTAATTCTGGCACGTTTGATGCATTCCAATTTACATATTATTTGTATAGGATACTATGCCAGAATGAGACAAGTGTCCCAAATCATTTTTGAGTTTTAAAACCAAGAATTTGTGTGTGTGTGGTTTAGGCTATAGATGTGTTAAAAGAGTCACATCAAGTTGACTAAATACTGGCATATTGCATGTCTATATACTTAAAAGTACATACTTTACCAGCACAGTACATACTTAGTACGCATAATTAGTATGCAAATTAGCATTCGCACAACTTTCTTTTTCTACCTCCTCTTTGGCTTTCTTTTCTGCCAACTGCTGTTTCTTCTGCTTCTCTTCCTCCTCCAGAATCTTCCTCCTTTCCTCCCTCTTCTTCTTCAGCTCCTCGAGCTCGGCCTCGGCAGTTTGCTGCTTCTGCTTCATCTTCTCCAGCACCTCGCTGTCTGTCTCATTCCGCCTGCGCTTCAGCTCTTGGAGCTTGCGTTCTGCCTCCAGCTTGGTGATGGGACCTTGCTTTTCTGTGTCAGGAGAACGCAAGCTGGTGGGACTAAACCGTGAAGAAAAAATGTCTTTATATTCATTTTGGCTCTCCAAAAAAATCTGGGAATGCAAATAAAGTAAATTATGAAATGACAAATGAGTCTTTGCCTTAGTGTCTTCTCTGGTTTCTTGGCTTTGGCGGCGCTGTCAGCTACATCTTGTGGCTTTGTTGACACTTTCAGCTTTGAATGGAGAAACAATTAATATTATTTTATTCTCAGGTTGTGCTGTCATTCCATCAGTCATAAATGTTTTGGTAGAACTGGGATGGTATTTGGACATCAACTTACTTTGTCACGTAAAAAGGAAGGTTTTGGTTTTTCCTCTACAACCTAAAGAGATAAAAACAGGCCACCTTTATTTCTATTAGTGTTAGCAGGTGATTTTTATAATATAGGAGTCAGTGGGTATAGCATGGAGAATTGACCACACCTCATGCAAATTACACAGCAAAAACAGAGCAACACCAGGCAGTCTTGACAGAAATATTGTTTTCAGAACTGCATGTATAAAGCCAGTGATAAAAGTAAGTGATATGTGATCAGAAATGGGTTAATCTCATGAAAACTTATCCAGGTGATATTTAAGATTTTTGGTGCATTGTGACATTCTTATTGCTGTAATAAGTAATAAAATCAAGTTAAGTGTATTACAGTAAAATAATGTAAAACAAAAATAAACTGGCATAAATTAAATACAACACATCACAGGTTTCATGAGATTGACGCAAAAGCTGTGTCCATCCAGTCAAACCAAAAAGCGCATTAAAAGCGTGGGCTGTGCATAAAGTACATCTGTGATTTCTATGCATCACTCAGGCTAAGAGGTGAATACCTCCTCCTTCTTCTTTGATCGGACTTTTTCTTCTACTTTGACCTTCGTTTCTTCAGCTTCTTTCTTCCATTTAGGTTTTTCCTCAACTTCTTTCTTTGGAGCCACATGTCTCTCCTCAACCTTCTTCTTTGGTGTTGATGGTTTTTCTTCAACCTCCTTCTTCAGCTGTGGTTTCTCCTCTTCTTTCTTTGGGGCTTTGGCCTTCACCTCAACTTCCCTAATTGATTTTTTTGGTGTTTCTTCAACAGGTACATGGGGTTTCTCTTGTTCCTTCATAGGTTTCTCATCTTCCTTCTTCACTGGAGCTTCATCTTGAATTTGAACCTTCACCACAACAGGTTTTTCTTCAGGTTTCTTTACCTGTTCTTCTTTCTCCACCAGCTTTTCCTCTTCACTCTGTGGTGTAGTTGGCTGCACTATGACTTCCTCCTCTATTTGGTCCTCTTCTGTTGGTTCTTTTCCTGATATTTGACTTTCATCTTCAACCTCTTTCTTTTCTAAATCTGCACTGGCTAAATCTACATTTGTTTGTTCTTTAGTCTCTATATTAGTTTCTTCCTAAAAAATATAACAAATAATTGAAAATATTTTCCGACTATAAATCAATTCAAAGGCAACTTTTGCGTTAAAAACCCAAGCAAATCCTTAGAATCTCATACCTCATTCAGTGCAGCTGGTTCTTTGGGTTTCTCCTCTGTGGATTTCTGTAACAAATGAAGTGTCAGAACAAACTAATATTGTAGAAACCACATGAAATGCGTTGCTAACATACTAAACTTTCATCATATGATGGAATGACAGCAAAAAATGTTGAGGAAATGACCTGTTCTCTGAGGTAGGACCTTTGTGATCTATCTTCCTCTTCTGGGTCATCAGTCTTCTCAGGAGATTCTTTGGGTTCCTCTGCTGCTGTGACTGGCACTGGATCCTCCTTTTTTGTGATTGCCTCCTCAACGTCTACACTGCTTTCCTCTATCTTTTCTTCCTCATTTTTCTCTTCCCTTTCCTTCCAAGAGTTGGTTTCTGAAGAAACATCATTTTGGGAGGACTCTTGTTCACCATTTCTACCACTTGGCTCATCCTCTGTGGTAGTGGTGACAGTTTCATCCGTGATGGTGGGATCAAGTTCCTTCTGTCTCTCCAAAGCTTCCTTCATCCTTTTCTGTCTCCGCTCTTCTCTTTTGGCAATCCTCTCTAAGAGAGCCTGCTCATCATCATCCTCAGCTGGTGCCGAACTAGTGATCAAGGAGGACGTCTCTGTACTGAAAAGAACAACATTATCAGTATAGTCATGTTATGAAAAGATTTGCCATTTTGTTTCAGGCTTTGGTTAAGTTTAGTATTGTTTTTTGTTTTTTTTAACACTTTTTTTAGTTGGAAGGGATAGTTCACCCAAAAATGAAAATTCTGTCATTAATTACTCACCCTCGTGTCGTTCCAAAACCGTAAGACCTTTGTTCATCTTTGGAACACAAATTAAGATATTTTTGATGAAATTCGAGAGCTTTCTGACTCTGCATAGACAGCAATGCAACTGATATGTTCAAGGCCCAGAAAGGTAGTCAGGACATCGTTAAAATAGTCCATGTGACATCAGTGATTCAACTGTAATCTTATGAAGCTACAAGAATACTTTTTGTGTGCAAAGAAAACAAAAATAATGACTTTATTCAACAATTCTTTTTGACACAGGATATAGAACCCAAATGTGCTGCAGTTCTGTTTTCTTTGCACAAAAAAAAGAATTCTTGTAGCTTCATAAAATTACGGTTGAACCACTGATGTCACATGGACTATTTTATCAATGTCCTTACTACCTTTCTGGGCCTTGAACATATCAGTTGCATTGCTGTCTATGCAGGGTCAGAAAGCTCTCGGATTTCTTAGTTTGTGTTCTGAAGATGAACAAAGGTCTTACGGGTTTTGAATGACATGAGCGAGAGCAATTAATGACAACATTTTCATTTTTAGGCATAATTAGGCATTTCAGCATAAAAAAAAACACATTTATTTTAAATCAGAATTTTAGTAAAGAACCGTTTTGTTTGTAAAGAAACCTTACAAACAAATTCTTGTAAAGTTTTGTAAATAAATTCATATGTAGGCACAGTTTATATTTGTTGACAAATCTAATTTCAAGCATTTATACATAAAACTTTAGGTCAAATACTTTTCGTTTTAAAGATCATTAATAAGACAGCTTTGTTTTGTGCAAAATGCATGAGAAAACTGTTTTTGGATGGATCTACGTGTTAGTTTCTGTTGTAGTGTTATTCGACTCCTCATTCTCCATATTGCGCAGGTGTTCCTGACGGGCTCGTCTCCGGCGCTCCCGGGCCGCTTCCTCATCATCATCGTGAGAGTTCATCCTGTAGACACGGTGGGACACAGACATGTACAGTAAGTAAAGACTCTCATTCTTCAGTATGAACGCAGACAGACAATACTGACAGATATATGAATGCTTCTTGGCTCAGTGCTGAAAGAGTGTGTGAGAAACACACTTCATAAACTTCATAAACACACCCCGAAGAGTCAATAATGATTATACTAGCAAATGTGAGCTTGAAAATGAACCTACACAGAGTCTACTAAAAACATAAACAGATTTTTAGAAATTCCTCATATGTGCATACATTTATGCACAAAATGTACATATCTAGTCAACATTTATTTTTCTATTATTTATTTTTAAATTCATCCAATTATGAATACAATTGCAATTATAATATAAATTATTTTATATACCTATTTAAATTAAACTTTGGTCATGCTGAGAGTGGTTGTTCATTACAATATACAAAAGTTGTACCATTATTGGTACAATAATGGTATTAAATGGAAATATCATTCTACTAAATGTTTTCTATAATATATAATATAATTTAAATGGTATAACCTTGGTATAAACATATCAATACAATTCCAATACCAATACTTTTCTGTTGACTCAATTAGACCTTTAGATTCATATAAACAGTTTCTTGTGTTTATTTATGCTTGGTTTGCCAGCTTGCTTAAGATACTGGTCAGACCCAAAAACCTCAACTGTAATGAAATCTTTGAGGCATGGGAGTATACAGAGAGAGATCTGGACTGCAATCTGAGGGGAAAGCTTTGTTAGCATCCTAGCGTCATGGTAAATTAGCAAGATTGTAAACTTATGTGCCAAATGCACCGTTTTCCCTCAGAGTTGCCTCATTGTTGGGCTCAGATGTTCTCAAATTCTCCGTCTTGCCGTTGTAGTTGAGCGAGTCCGACCTGGCTTGAGTTTGCCATGGCATGTTGGTGTTTATAAGGCAGTGAGAGCTCTTGAAATGGCCAATTGATGGAGGATGGGTTTTATTTTTTCCCCTTCTCCTCTTCACTTCCCTTCACAATCATTTGCAGATGTTGTAGATGGTAGAGAGAAACCCATAACAGGGACCGCAATTCTGTTTCTCCATCCCGAGACCAACAGCGGAAATCCGAAACAATCCGTTCCTCTCAGGGAGTTCCATATGAAAAAGGTCATCCAAAAAGACAGTCAGATGGAGTATCTGCGATTTTCCTGGAAGAATACAGTCTGTCTTCTGTAAGAAGTGTTGCTGGATTAATACAATAGCTTTCAGACCTCCAGTGCGGCAGATGAAATGCAAGGAGAGATGGAGGGAGAAAGCTCACACTCCTGACAGATACTGAAACATTATGGCTGAATCTTGGAATAAAAGCAGCAGTCAAAACATTCCAAAGTCTGTGGAGTTTCCTTAACCTGCTGCAGAGAGATTCAGCACATGACAGGCCAGATTCCCATTGTATTGAAGACCAGGGCTGCGTTGCGTTTCTCAATAGCATTGTAAACCTGAGGGGATCGTAGAGACTGCTGGTGCCAATGGGTTCTACAATCTACTTAGGTTTACAATGCTATTGGGAAGCATTAGGTAGTCAAAAATACATAGCTGTGCTAGTTTCATGTATTTCATATCACTCTGTGGTCTCTTTCTTTTCATGTAATGAAATAATTTCAGCTTAAATTATTATTTAGTTTCTATTTAGTTATAATGTACAGCCAGTCTGTCATTTTAGGTGAATAGATGATTATGTATAATATACTGTAAAAAAACAAAACAAAACATATTTTAAAGATAAATTAATGAAAATTAATCAAATAAACATAAAAATTAAAACATCAAAAATCAAAATTACAACATTAAAAATTTAATTTTAATGTGCCATATTATTTATAATTGAATATATGTCAATATTTAACACTTTTTTAACAAATAAAATAGCAACACAATTTATGGTGAAAATCTATTACCTTCAACAAGACATTGCATGTACTTATACAATAAAGTATTTTTATTATACAAGTACATGCGTTTAATATTTCATGTCCATTTATTATAATATACAGTTAGTCTGTCATGATAACAAAATAAACTCGTTCAGGGCGATGATAGACTGCTGCTTCTATGTTGTTATTATATTATAATTACAGGACAACATCCACTTACATATTTCCTTTTTTTTCGGTGAACAGATGATTATGTATAATATACTGTAAAAAAAAATCATAATTTTAAAGATAAAGAATGTAAAAATAAACATTAAAAATGAAAACATCAAAAACAAAAATGAAAACGTTAAAAATTTTATTTTATTGTGCCATACTGTAATATAAATTTGTCAACATTTGTTTAAAATAGGCTATTTTTTAAATATACATTGCAATAACATTTATGGTGAAAATCTATATTACCCTCAACAAGACAATGCATGTACTTATACAATAAAGTATTTTACAAATTTTAAGTACAAAATACAAGTCATTTTGTAATGCACTATGAAAGAAAACAGTACAAGAATGTTCCCAGTGGTCCTTGCATTGCTATAGAAAGGCCTTAAATTCATCATGTGACCTTCACTCACTTGCATCCTCTAAAATGCATCAGTTAAAGCCTAAATGATTGGTAAAGTGTTATGTCAATCAAAGAACTGATGTAATATTGAGAAATCCTTTTTGGGACCCTGAAAAGATGAATGAAGACTGAATCCCTATAATTCACATGCTGATTAAATAAATTAGAAGCCACATCATTTCTTTGACAATATAGTTGATAATTGAAAATGATATTGGACAGAATTATGATGGCATCGTTTTGAAGTGGTAATATGCTGAAACTATTGAATAAGCAAATGCGTTTAGAAAAGATGCTGATGCATCTGGTGAGCTGTTTAATCAAGCACAAGGGATTTATGGGCGATGCCATGTTCACTTCCTTTGACATAAATATACGGGTTCTCTCCGTTGCTGTTTTGAACTGGAAACCATGACAGGCAGCTGGGATTTGGGGGAATTCAGATTCTTTAGCATCAATAATTTTCATAGAGAATATTTCTTTTCCAGATATGATTCCAATAAAGTTTGTTTTCTCCACTACAAATCCAATGAATGTGGTAGAAATGCCTTGAGGTTTCTTTCTTGAGACTCATCCATCTCAATAAAGTTTCTCTCTCGGTCATTCCAGCACATATGCACTGAAGTTTCTGAGACCAGACTGAAATATGACATTGTGCAGCAGAAGTGAAGGATTGTGAAGAAGAGAAATATATTCCCCACACTCAGAGTTTAACATGCACACAATGGGAGTAAGTGTCAGAATACATCATTTCTCCAGATAGAAGTTATTAAGTAAGGCGTGGTGGATTTGGCTTGAGTATTTGCTGGACTTGAAAGTGATTTTTATCAAAGGTTTGATTTCCCTTTCTGCTTTGATTGTTGCCACAATGAAGCTTAAAAGTGGCTGATGCAGAGAGAGCATTTTTTATTCAAGAGATGCAGAGCAGGGGACGCGAAGAACAGGATTAAGAACCGCTGCTTTAGAACATTGATTTTTAAACTTGTGAATCCATTAGAATCACTAGAAGACAGAATTGTGATTCATATGAATAGATGTTTTCGTGCACCCCTAGTTTTGACGTCGTGGCAACAACGCTTCCTCTTCTCTAAAGCAGCGCAACATGGCCTCGCCCCCTTTGCTGCATGTTCCCGGAGGCAGGGTTTATGTACATTTCTGGGTTCGTGACGAAGTAGCTCGTTGTAGTCCCTACGAGCCGTATTTGTAGGCATTAAACTGGCAGACTTTTAAAAGACGATATCTCCGTTTGCATTGACCTTTCAGCTTCGTAACTTTGCAGATATTGTTTATGCTCAAACAGCAACATTACACACTAACTAACTTTTAAAAAGTGAAATCGCAATCAACCACCCCTTTAAAATGTAGTTGCCAAGATTCTAAGAAATGTTCTCTTTATATTCTATGGTTTTATATCATTTTTAGAAATGTTTTTAGATATATTTTTCTAGGTTAAAAGTATTTTTTAAAACATAAAAATATTAATTCATAAATATCATGAGGGAGGGTGTGGGGAGTTGACACCACACAACATTTTACAACCTAAACTAACCTTGCCTTGTAATAAATCAAATTGTCATAAAAAAAATCTGTCATAAAAATCTGTGAAATATTCTGATGTTAAAAAAGGTCAAATCAAGTATCATTGAAATACTATTATAGTTTTATTAATATTTTAAATTTTAAATTAAAAGTTTTTATTTTTATATTTTCTGTTATTTTCATTTATTTAAAGTTTTAGTAATTTTGTTGTTTTTGTCATTTTTAGTAGTTCTTGTTTTTTGAATTATGTCTATAAAGTTTTTATTTAATTTTGATTTCAGGTTTAGTTTTTGTTATTTTAGTACATGAAGATAAACTAAATGAAAATGAAAAATGTTGCTTTGGCAACTAGCTGTCACTGTCCGCTACTGTGAGGAGCACGGAGCGAGGAGATGTTGAGGAAAGGGGGCATGTCGGCTTCCAGTTCGGTTTCCCAGTCTATAAGATCCCCCTCGAAGTCCAGCAGTCCCAGATGTATAATCAGCTCACCCTCAGCCGCGGTGCAGTGGGCGGAGCGCCACTCTGCGCTCTCTCTGTCCGCGGCATTCTCCCTCGTGGCTGGCTCTGTTGCTGGCTCTGCACCTTGACTGACATCACTTGAGGTGGGCTCGGGCATGCGCTCCGTGCAGCGGGGAGATGGTGGGCTGGGCACTGGGTCAGGAGTGAATCTGGCGAGATCATTCACGGGGCAGATGGTGAATGGTGATCCATTTCTCGCCAGAATCCACTCCACGAAGGCGGCGAAATCCGCTCGGGGACCATCCTCGGACGACGGCGCTCTGCACGCGGTGTTCAGGCTGGCGTCATAGAACGCGTATGCGTCATAGCGCGTCGTCCGGATAGCTGGTGAGTTCGGCGAGGCCCTCGAGCGATCTTTCCCCCTGCTCCAGCAGGAGGAGGAGGTATTCAGGGTGGGCGAGAGGATCCATGGGCACAACGGAAACAAAAACTGCTGGGTAAAAACAGAAACAAAAACGGATGGAACACACGGAGGTAACTGTTTATGGTCTGGTATTCTGTCACGGTCCGCTACTGTGAGGAGCACGGAGCGAGGAGACGTGGAGTAAACTTCCAACAAACAGACTTTAATGAACATCAAGGGAACCAGGAACACACACGTATCCAAACTAGTTATAAAGAATTTAATAATAATATATAATATGTTAATATAATTTCTTTAAATGAATATTTAATTGTATTTTATTTAGGACTGCTGTATCACTTAGTCTATATGACATTTGGACTGGACCTGGACAAAATATATAAATCTTAAGTAAGAAATTAAAAACATGCTCATCAAGAAGAAGTGGCAGAATTTCGTAATGAAGTGTATTTTATATATTTTTAATAAATTAATAGAAAGTGTTATCCTTCTTTCCTGAATTTTCATCACAACGACTATTGTATAAAACTACAAATATCCCTGAGAATAAACACTGTAATCTTCTAGACTCTAAATATTGCAACTGCAAAGACAGAAAACCATGGAAAGTGTGAGGCTGATAGTGTATGTTATCGTTACAGTATCTAACAACCAAAAAAACTGGAATGATGCAGATCTAACATTCGTAGCTTTTCCAAGTACACTATACCATCCATTAACACCACCACCACCTCCTACAAATACACAAACAATACAAAACTGATCATGTGCATTCCAGCCTACGTGAAAATGTGATCATAGTATGTGCTGACAGTCACCATTATGTGCATTCATCTGTGCTCATTCCCTCACCAAGAGCAGTAAAGCATCTGTCATCTCCAGTAGTACACATCTGCGGATCAGTCCTTAAATGGAGCGCTGGACAGTGGGAGTTATAAAAGGATGGAGAAACTGCAGCTCTCGGTCTATGAGTGGGCCAAGTCATCCTGAACTATAAACACTCTGAACAAACCTGACCTGCCAAACCCACACTGCACATTACCCATGCTAATACACAGTTTTTATGTATTTTAATTAATATGAAGAGAATAAAGTTTTGCAAGCCTTTTACCATGACCATTTTAAATGTCCATATTTTTCATATTACACAAGAATGTTAATGTTCGCTGCTGGGTAGCACTTGAAGCAGTTCTTGAAAAAAAAAACGGATTTCCACAGAAGGCTTACGTCAAAACAGAAACACATGAATAAATCTAATCTGGTTTAAACAAACCCAGTGTAAACACAGAATAATTGACATTTACTGTTTACAAAAGACCAATAATGCAATGGCATGCTATTTCTCTTTTGTTTATAATGACACTAAACATTTCTCCTTTAGTTCGCTCTATTGGGTCCACATACTACATTTTACAAATTATATAATTTTTTTTTTTTTGCAGTATCCGTTATTCTTAATGTTGATTCTCATTTGAAATTTACTATAACAAAAAAAAATGTTTTATTGATATCAGCATAATTTAGACAGTACAACAAACTACCATGATTTAAAAATAATTTATGTATAATTTAAATATTATATTACAGTATTATAATAATAAGATCATAATAATAATAATAATTTTACATTAAAATAATGATAATTACAGAAAAAAATGCTTAATTTTCTTAAATATAATTTCTAATTTTTTTTATTTAGGTTTTACAGCAGTGTGATTGTAGTTGACTAAAACTAAAATGGAAACAAAAATTAAAACTATTAGAAAATATTGATGAAAAATAATTAACTTTGAAATAAACATTTACTGAAATAAAATAAAATATATAAAAGACATTTCAGGTAGTTACCTAGGCAACCTTTCTAAATTTTAATTTAGTTTAACTTTATATACTAAAATATCTAAAACCGAAATAGACAATTATTAAAATAAAACAAATGAAAAACAGAACATATAAAAATTGATTCAAAATATTAATTAACATTATAAGAGTATTTAATTGATACTAAAATAACACCCTATTGCACTGAGATTTCAAGGTTTGAACATTAAACTAAATTCAACTAAACCTAAATTATGCACATCCCATCTGCCAGTCTAACTATTCCTTCTCTGAAAGAAACTAAAATATATATCCAATGTGCATCTGTCTAAAATCAGATATTATCTGGATTTACTCTACCAAACCTTCAACTGTAACAAAGCACTGTAAATGTAGGAAGACATTTACAAGCATGTCAACCTTTATAAGGAATAGAGAGGCGAGCAGAGGCACGGTTGTTTGGATGACGCAGACACAGGCCTCTCCAACTTGGCCAGATTATTACAGACAGCACTCCAGTGGCTTAAAATAGTATTAAACTCATCATCGGGATGACAGTGATCTGAATGTTATTGCATTGTCTAAAATGATGAATCCCATTTGATAATGGAAGCAATTGAGAGCAAATTAAACATTTCAAAAAAAGAGGAAAATAATGTGTGTAAATTAATGTGTTTGTGACTTACTTCTCTGCCTCCCGCTGCATCTCTTCTCGCTTTTGTCTCCGTAACTCTCTGCGATGCTCAAAATCAAAGTCCTCATCCATGCTTCGCACAGAGTTCTTGGGGTACAAGCTGAAAGAGAGAAAGACAGTCAGACAGGGTGGGATTTATAAAGGTTTGAACTGTCCTGATCACTTTAATTCAAAGTCAAGACGCTCCCTGTCAGCTGTTTGGCTTATAACTTACCAGGACCACAACATTCCAGTTTCTTGATCCATTTCCCTGGAACAACTACCAGGAAAGGCAAACTATGCCACACATTTAACTTCACCACTGATCTTCTCTCTTCATGGACATATTATGTTAAGTTTTTCAATGTCCTCCTTAACTCTCGGCTCTTGCCATAGGCCTACAATGTTTGTATAATGTATAATTTTAAGAATTTATATAATGTATAAGCTAAGTATAGCATTTCCTGGTCTTCTGTCATGTTTGAGGGAATATCATTCAAATAAATCATGCTTTTGTGTTTTCTGATTGTATGCCCAACACCAAACAGAGCTAAGGAAGTGGCAAATTTCCGTTAACCAGTGCATGTTTGCTTACATTCTCTGAAATAATGAATAATGAATGCTAGAAGGGTAAAGGATGTCATAAAACAACAATCCGCCAAGACCCAAGTGCCTTCACCAATATAAAGGTGCAGAAATCATCTAATTCCTGGAATTAAATATATCATAACTTGATAATTTTGTGTTTTATCACTAATACAAAAACAAATGATGGTTTCCCCAAATACACTTCTCATCTGTCATTGGTCAGAATCTTATGAAGCCATTGGTTGAACCAGTGTTGCTATGTCGAAAACGCCACAGTGTTTTAGGCGGGAATCATTAACCTACAAATTGGCAATGCTTCCTTTAGTTAACTCTGTAATAATGAACTGAGATTGAAGAAAGTAGTTTAAAATATTTAACAGAACATAGCAAAGAATGTGTCCCTGAAATATTCCTCTTACAGTCCTGACTACTATTGATGTAGTCAATTCTGTGCTACATCATCATCATCATCTGTGGAGGTATGACGAATCCGTGACGAAGCAGTAATGATGACCTACTGCTTTTCCTGAAAAAATGCCCGGCTTTGTGATTTTGGAAAAATGTCATGGTTGGTCACCATGGCAAATTCTGGCAGGTGCAAAGCAGCCATGTGTCAGCCAAGCAGACGTCCTCATAAAGGTTTGTTTATGTGTGGCCATTTGGTAGCTACTGCTATCGTCTGTCATTGCCACTTGAGTGCTTCTTATTTAATAAAAACTTTTTGGAATGACTGCTATTTAGTGCTCCAAACTGCGACTAAAATGGTTACGAATGCGACAACAGTTAAAATTGTGCGACAGTTTTGTGACGTGTGAGTGTCCTCTGGCGGTTTCATTGGATTTCATAAAGCTTGAAATCTGCGCTGCAATGTTTTCTGTCTGAACCGAACGCCATGACATGACCCGGACATGATTCACGAAAATGACTCTTTTGAACCGGTTCTGTTTTAATGACTTCAAATTCACGAAACGCCCGCGTGAATGATTAGCGGGTTGAATCGTTATGATGAACTGTGATGAATGGTTCCTGAGACAAAAATTTAAATGAAACATTTACAAGCCAAACAACTTTTTTAGTTTTTGCCTTGAATGTGTTCTGTATGGAGTAGTGACACTTAAAAATAAAATGAAGAAATACATTTTAATTTACAATTTAATAATTCATTCAAACAAAAAATGGAAATCTATCACATTTTAAATGGACGCATTAAAAGCCATGTTTATAAACGTTTATAATTCATGTTGGTTAAATAAAATAATAAATGAAATCATTTAAATTTGCATTTTTGAGGGCGGAAAAAAAAACATTTGCAAGATTATTTTCTTTGTCGTTTGGTCAAATACTTTACTTTAGTTCACCCAAAAATGAAAATGTTGTCATTATTTACTTACCCTCAGTTGTAATATTTTTTCTATACAATGGCAGTCAATGGATAGAAGAAAGAAAGAAATTGGAACAACTTAAGGGTGAGTAAATTATGACAGAATTTTTTTATTTTTGGTTGAACTTTACCTTCAAAAAGTGTCTTTGGACAGTTCAAAGTCGGTATAAGATGGACTGTTATTGGAAAGTATATAGCCTACAGTTTTAAATATGTCCATTTATTTTTTAATTAGCCTAAAATTATTTTATATTATTTTATTGAACCACATTTTATAACATTGATTTAAATGTATAACTTCTTGCTTCGTTTTATTTTTAAGCATCAGTTCTAGTCCTCCACAGCACTGAAGTCTTTGAATTTTAATACAGTAGGGTTCTGAGAGCACTTTAACATCTGTGACAGAGAACTTGGTTGGATAATTCTGGTAAGGATTTTACAGTCCGTCTCTCTGCAAGACACCAGCCTCCATTTTATATTATAATACCTTTGCATCGATATGGGAACAGTTAGGTTGGTGGTGTCACAAAGCCTGTTCTGTGTTCTACTCTCCATATCACATGTGTGGAGCGCTGGGCCAGACAGAAAGCGCCCAGCAGGCTAGAGGTGAGTGGACTCATTCGACGGCTGCTTCCACTGGAGCTGCAGGCGTGTTTGGTTTGGCTCTCCTCCAGAGGCAGAGGAACAAGGCTCTTGCACCAGTCTAAAGAGTCTCCATATGTGCATAAACTGAAAAAGTCCTGTAATGGTGACCTCATGTGAGGGCTTTCTGGGTGACAGACGCATAAGGCTTTCCTGAACCCTTTTAACCTCTGCCTACAACCTGTCACATCTGTCAGCAGAAGGCTGATGTGCTTTGACCACTGGGTTAATGTATTGCAACCACACATAAGACAATATGTATGCAATTTCCTACATTTGCATTAGGTTTGATGTGAGAAAGTGTTGGTGACCCCAATGGAAAACTAGTGAATTGATCAGATTTCAGTGGAGCACTTTTCACTGCATTCATCAAATCAGTTTTTAACACTTTTGCCAGTTTTACAAATGAAATTTGTGCGATTGCCTGCACTTGTTTTGTATAGGAACCCGTGGACAAGCATCAGTCCTGTTTTACTAACAGTGGTAGAACAGGCATTAAGTTAAAAAATAAAATTATCAAAATGTTATGCATGAGTTAAATCCATAATCTTTTATATATTAAAAAAATCTTTCATTAAATGTTGTCTGAAGACAATTTTAATAGTAATTGTTCTTACTGAATACGAGAATTTTAAAAACAATTTAAATGACAAGCATAGCAATTTGAGAGAAAACGATGGAAGGCTATATAAATGTACATATCTTTTTAATTTTAGATTTCTTTAAATACATTGCTGATAATTTCAGTTTTCGTAGCAAAAACATTTAATTTTATTTATATTTAATTATTGAAATGTTTTAAGATTAAATTTACTTTTCTTTGTTTTACATTCCTAAAACTCCTTTATTTAGACTACTTTTTTCCGTTTTAATGATGAAATTGCAGATTTTTCTGAAACTTTTATACCCCATTGCATGTGTCTGTAGCACTCTAGCAGAATACTAATATATTTCCGTTTGTTAGGACAAAACATGAGGACTTGATAAAAGAAATCAACAACTTCAGGAACAAATGGAGACACTGACAAATTCAGGAATTTCCTCAATGCAAAATAGCTGTTAAAATAGAGGCTAATAAAACCAGACTAAGTGATTTGAAGAATTCAAAGGCATTTTCTTTTTCTGTTCCCATTTCACTTGCTCATTACAGAACGCTTTTGGGTACAGTGGGCATGTTATACATTTCCCAGACTCCCTTTCGCTGTCCAGTCTTCCTACCACAAGTTATCGTCGAGTCCACAAATAATTTCCACATGACGGAGATGGAGAACATATTCTAATTTATACATCTGTGACTGATTCCAGGTCCTGGGCAATTTGCCCTTTTCATGGTATTCATTTTTTTACGCAGAGAGTTTGAACGCACTACAGTAGACTCCACTAGTATGACCAACATAAAGCTTTTGCACTAAAGTACACAGATGGAAAAAAAGCTGGAAATGAATCTCATTAGAACTTTTACAGTACAGACTGACAGATCATATCCAAATCTGCTAAAAAGGTTTATATAGCGTATCTTAAGCCCGTAATGGAATTTCTGTGTGTCAGGACGTCAGCATTTTAGAGCTGTTGCTACCACCCAGGTAAGACTGGGTGAAGCCGTTTACAATGACATAACGAGCTGTCTAGTGGGTTTTCAATAAAGCTTTATTATGTGCGGACAGGACAAACGTGTGGAGCCAGAATACACATCAGGGCGGATCTACGTCCAAGCCAAAACCAACGAGAGCTGTGCAAGATGCTGAAACGATTTTCTAGTCACTGATAAAGTACCTGCTTTCCATTTGATTTATTCACTTATTTAGACCTTTAGACAGTGCATGAGAAAGGAATATTACATTAGGTAGCTATGCTATAGTTTCATCTCTCTTGCATCACTCTGTGGTCTCTTTCTCGTGATATAACGAAATAAATTCACGTTTAACATTTTATGGTCATTATTTTATTTATTTGCTCACAGTCACAAGATATAACAACTTAAAGGGTTAGTTCACCCAAAAATGAAAATTCTGTCATTAATTAGTCACCCTCATGGCGCTCCAAAGCCGTAAGACCTTCATTCATCTGAACACAAAAAGGATATTTTTGATGAAATCCGAGAGCTTTCTGACCCTGCATGGACAGCAACGCATCTACCTCGATCAAGGCCCAGAAAGGTAGTAAGGACATCATTAAAATAGTCCATGTGACATCAGTGGTTCACCCATAATTTTATAAAGCTACGAGAATACTTTTTGTGCGCAAAGAAAACAAAAAGAACAACTTTATTCAACAATTTCTTCTCTTCCGTGTCAGTCTTTGACACATTCACGAGAGTTTCATCAAAAATATCTTAATTTGTGTTCAGAAGATGAACGAAGGTCTTGCGGGTTTGGAACAACATCCCTTACGAAAAAGAAGTTTATTCAAGTGTGCTATTAGTATACTTCTTTTAAACTAAACAATAGGAAGGTATGCTTTTAGTCTACTTTTTATGTACTTCTCAGAAATGGGCTTTATGTACTTCTCAG